CAGTAATTTTTGAATGAGCATATCAACTCCAAGGACCCAAGGACTATTTCCATATTTTACATTAGATATAACCCAAGGAGAATTCACTTGCTGGATGATGGAAATATGAATTTTGTAAATTATAGCCATTATATGGAATTAGAGATAAATTTACCCACGTGGTTTCCAGAATTAAATAAGTCCTACCAAGTCATTACTAAGTAGAACTAAATTGTTAGGGTGAGCTCAGACATGGCACAGCCAGAAACCCTCAAAACCTGTGACTCAGACAACACTGGCTCATCCTCCCTCACAAAGTCAGCCTCGCAGCTCTGCTTGGTGACTTCCTGCCAGATGGTGACTCATAGTCCAGAATCCTCCCAAGAGGTGACTTTGCCACCTCGACCAATGGAATGGCCTCTGAGCTCCTGTGAGAGTGTGTGCAATCCCACAAGGACTCCTGCAGTCAGACCTGGAAACACTGAGCCTTAGCCAGGGAGTCAGGGAGCAGATCCCAGTCCTGAGCTGCAATCAAGCTACCAAGAGGGTGAGGAAAGAAAAGTACTTGGTACCCTTTAGCTACTTCCCCACAAGAACCCTGAGGGCATGGTTTTGTGCAAAGCTCTACTGATACTTCTGTTATTTGGGTTTTGTTGTGGTTTTTGGCTTTTTAGACAGTCTCACTTTGTAGTGCAGTCTGCTCCTGAACTCACCATGTAGCCCAGGTTGGTCCTCAGTTTGGAGCAATCCTCCTGTGTTAGCCTCCAGAGTGCTGGAATTATAAGCATGCAACACCATACCCAGCTGCACTGCTAAGTCTGAACCAGTCCCAAAGAAAGACTCACAGCACTTTGTTTGCTTGAGTTTCAGTAATAGTCGTGATTTCTTTAAATGAACATTGAAATGTGATTAGCTCAAATTGGTAAATACTAAATAAACAACTGAGTCTTAGTACATACTCCCAGGTGATGTGGACAATGTACTTTCTATGTTGTCTGTTAAGTGCTGAACCATGTGTTTAAATCTCAGTGAAGCAGGGTGTGGTGATTCACATCTGTAATCCCAACATTTGGGAGATTGAGACATGAGGATGACTGCAAATTGGAGGTTAATCTGGGCTACATGGAAAAACCTTGTCTTAATGCTGGGCGTGATGGCTCACACCTGTAATCCCAGCAATCAGGAGGCTGAGGCAGGAGGATCCTTGCAAGTTGCAGACCACCCTGGGCTACAAAGTAAGCCTGAACTGCATAGTGAGACCCCATCTCAAAAAAAGACTAAAAAAAACCCCAAAACCTTGTCTTAAAAAAAGATCAATCAATCTCAGTAGATGAAAGACAAGACTATAGGCTCTTATGAAAGCTGAAGAGTTAAAGAGGACAAATGTCTAAATAGAAATAAACTTCCAGCAGGTTTGGTGGTCTGTGTCTATAATCCAGCACTGGAAGATTGAGGCAGGAGTATTGCCAAAGTCAGAGACCATCTAGACTACATGGCGAGACCCTGTCTCAAAGAAAAGCTAAAAAATAAATAAATCACTTCTCTCACTCTGAAAACAAACCAACAGAGAACTGAGCATATTCCATGTGTCCTCTAAAAAATAGTTTGTATTTGTTTGATTGTCTTGTGTGGTACTGAGGATTAAAACTGAGGTCTTCAATTTGAGTGACATTCCCAGCTCCCATCCCCTGTTTTTAAATTTTGTTTTTATTTTATTTTGAGACAGATTGGTGCTAAGTCACTCAAGTTGTCCAGGATGGATACAAACTTGTGATTCTTCTGCCCCAGCCCCCCTGATTGCTGTGCTTAGAACGTTGGGCCACCAGGCCCAGCTAAAAAATGCAATTTTGCATTTCCTAAAACACATAGAATGATCATGAGTTTTCATTCACCATTTCACATTAGGAATAGAGAATGAACTAGTAGGTAATTTGGGTTGTATTTTGTATTTTTTGGACATGGCCTTGCTATGCATTTCAGGCTGGCCTCCAACTCTCAGCCTCCCAACTGCTGGGATTATGGACATGTGACACCAAGTCCAGGTGTAATTTTCTAGAACCCACATTTTAAAAAGTGAAAAAACCAGATGACACCCAACAATATATATTATGTAAATCAATACATCCAAAATACAGTAATGCCTGGTTCATGAACAATTCTATTTGTGAATAACCCAGTTGGCAAACTCCTCATCAGATAACTACCATGACATCAACCTTTTCCTGCACATACACACCAATGTGGCCATCTTCCCAAAGTCAGAAAACAATTTAAGATCATAAACCGAGGCCCACTCTGTCAGTAATTCCACACAGCTATCAGACTCATCTTTCAGCTCCATGCTTTAACAACTACCACTCCAAGGAGCTCATGGAAATTCACTCATTCACTCTGTTTTGTGTCTACCATGGTACTAGAGTTATACCCATGGCAAGCCTGGGCCACATCCTAGACCCATTTCATTTTTAAAAGTTTGAGAAAGAATCTTCAAAAGTCCAAGTATGCAACAGCTGACTGATGGGGTCAGCTTGAGTGAGAAAGACCCAAGCAATTGGCTCAGCAGAGCTGTGGGTGGGAGGACCCACCCTAGGGTGCAATGCTATAAAAGAAGGAAGGAAGGCAGTGTCTGCTCCAGGACAGCTGAAGTCTCTTCCCTCTCCTTGGAGTCCCTGCCTGGCTTCCAGCACAGCCCCTTCTTCTCCTGGTATCAACGCGCTCCACGCTTCCACTGGGGCCTCCACCTCCAGTCGCAGACGGACCTGTGCTGCTCCACACCAGCGCTGCAGGCGGCCCTGTGAACCACCCTGGTGAGTTCTCCTGGTGAGGCTACCAATTTGTATGTTTCACATCAGGTCTTCTCAGCAAGCAGTGATGCATACAGAGTGGAACACAGAGTGGGAACTTCCTCCTGTCTCAGCCTTCTGAGGGCTGCAGCTGGAAGACAGTCACCCCACACTGGGACTCTACTTCTTGTTTTCTGTAGTGATGTCTCCCTTTCCAGTTTCTTTCTTTCATTTTTGTTGTTTTTGGAAGTATGGTTTCTCTGTGTAGTTCAGGCTATCCTTTACCTTAGATGTCAATATGTACTCAAGGCTAGCTTAGAGTGAGAGATGATCCTCCTCCCTCAGCTTCCTGGGTGCTGGAGTGCGTGTGCCACCAAGCTCACTCAGAACTGAAACTTTATTCTACTCCCTCCCTTACTTTGGCTTGGTGCCCTTTAGAACCACAGCCAGGGTGAGGAATGTAGCTCAGTGGTGAAGTGCTTGCCCTCAGAGGTGGGGCTGGGGCCTCAATCCCCGGTACTGAAAAAAGAAAGGTAATTAGCAGAAGTATGCCTAGGATTGGAAGAGTCACTGACACTTTAAAAGTGAGCCTACAATGGCTGTCCTCAGCCCCTGAGCAGCTCTCTAGACATTGGCAAAGCAAACATGCCAGTGTCGGTTTGTGTGTTCATCCCATTTCCTGCTGTGCTGGAGAAAACAGTGGCAGTACAGATGCATCACTGAAGTGTTTTGGAGACTGTAAAGCTTGTTAGAAACACTGCTCTCCACTTTTAATGGGTTCACTGTTAAATTTTTATGGAAAGTCAATTAAATTACTTAAGTGCATGTTTGAATCTTCACATCTTAACAGCATCACTAATCATGATGCTCAGATTAAGATGCTCTTGTAGCGATTTCATATTCAACAAAACAAAAAATAGAGCTACCGAGAGGAGCACATGGTCACCACACTTTTGGCATGAACACGCTGCAACCCTGTCTTCTACATGTGCTGTCCAGCGCTTCATCCTCTCTTTACTGTGGCCAGTGGGTGTTCATCTTATGACCAGTTAATCAAAGGACATAATTTTATTTAAATTAAATGCATTGGATCCGCTGGACATAGGGGCACACGCCTGTAATTCCAGTACTCTGGAGGCTGAGGCAGGAGGATCCTTGTGAGTTTGAGACCAGCCTAGGCTACAAAGTGAGCTCAAGACCAGTCTGTAATTAAAATACAATTCTGGGCACCACAGTTCACAGAATGCTCATAATTATCACTATTCTATCCCATGGTGGGACCACCCTTCCCTTGAAATGTGAGCCGACATGTGGCTGTATGGATAAAATACTGGTTAGATTTTAGAGACAGATCAGGAAGACCAAGTTGAAGAGCTGACTCATCATCTTTACGTGGTCACTGTGGTACAGGGTGCAGCGGCCCTAGATGATCTCCACGTTACAGTGCTGAGGACTTGTCCATTACCTGTGTTAAGGGGCAAAGGCCAACACTCATGGCAGGAGGAATTAAGGTTGCAAAATCTATGATTTTAAAATAGAGATAATGGGCCGAGGATTTAGCTCAGTGGCATAAGCTCCTGCCTGGCAAGCATGCTGTCCTCAGTTCAATTCCCAGCACCAAAAACAACAAACGAATAAATAACAGCCTGGATTATATGGAATGTCTTAAGGTAATCACAGAATAATCTAAAGAAGTGAGCTTGGGTGTGGTGATGAGCGCCTGTAATCCCAGCACTGGGGAGGCTGAGGCAGGAATAGGGCTCTGAGTTTGAGGAAAAATTTAAATACGGTGTGTTGCCTTGGCTTGTCACTTTAACTGCAATTTGAAGGCCTCTTTTTTATGTCACATTTCCTAAGTAAACTCACAATATCCACTGCTGTATATTCCTGAAATGTCAAAGGGCAACAATATTGTGTCTGCAGTGAGTAATGGCAGGGGAGAGTTGATTCGTTTAGGATTTCAGGCTCCCCAGGGATGTTAGTGCCCACTCACAGTGAGGAGCATGAAGGGCAGGGGAGGGCGAAGATAGTACTAAAACCACATGGCATGGGGAATCAGCTGGAATGCTCCTCAGTTGGGTGCCCAGTGGGATTTCTGCAAGGGGAGTTTGCCACGTTCTAGGCCAGGATTTCTGTATGTTTCACTAGGAGAGAAGCACACCACAGCTTCTTCCACATCTGGTCAACCACCAGCACTAAAGCCGCATCACACATTTTTCCTATTAAAAGGTTACCATCATGTCCAAGTCAGCATCTCCTAAGGAGCACGAGCAGCTGTGCAAGCTTTTCATCAGAGGGCTGCACCTCAGCACCACCAATGAGAGTCTTAGAAGCCACTTTGAGCAGTGGGGAACACTCACCGACTGTGTGGTAATAAGAGATCCAAACACCAAGCGCTCCAGGGGCTTTGGGTTCATCACTTATGCCAGCGTGGAGGAGGTGGAGGCAGCCATGAACGCCAGGCCACACCAGGTAGATGGCAGAGTGGTGCTAACCAAGAGAGCTGTCTCCAGGGAAGACTCCCAAAGACCAGGTGCCTACCTCACCATGAATAAGATCTTTGTGGGTGGCATTAAAGACACTGACGAACATTACCTACGAGATCATTTTGAACAGTATGGAGAAATCAAAGTCATTGAAATCATGACTGACCAAAGCACTGGAAAGAAAAGGGGCTTTGCTTTTGTAACCTTTGTTGACTATGATTCTGCGGACAAGGCTGTGATTCTCAGATACCAGACTGTCAACGGCTACAGGTGTGAAGTGAACAAAGCCCTGCCAAGGCAGAAGATGGCTAATGCTTCATCTAGCTAAAGAGGTCCACGTGGTGCTGGAAATTTTGGTGGTGGTTGTCGAGGTGGTTTTGGTGGCTATGTCAGTTGTGGTCAAGGAGGAAACTTCAGTGTTCCAGGTTCCTTTGGTGGCACTGGGATTCACTACATTGAAATTGGTAATGGAAGCAATTTTCAAGTTGGTGGAAACTACACTGGTTTTTCAATTACCACAGTCAAACTTCACCTTATGAGCTCATGAAGAGAGGAGCATCTGGAGGCAGAAGCTCTGTACCCTGTGTTGGTGGAGGCCAATACTTTACCAAACCACGAAATCAAGGTGGCAATGGTGGCTCCAGAAATAACAGGAGCTTTAGCAGAGGCAAGAGGTGTTAAATACTGCTGGCAGCAAAGCTCAGCAGAGGAGAGCTTGAGAAGTGAGAGGGAAGCCACAAATTACAACAGACGGCTGAACTCGACCAGCACAGTGGTGGCAGGGCCTCGCTACTAAGAAGCCATGTTGTAGACGAGGCTCATGAGTATGGACAGGGCACTCAGGATGTGACTAACTGCAGGACAGGTTATTTTAGTTTCTGCTGTGGAAAGTGTAAAAAATTCCAACAATAGGTTTCCATGCAGACTCTGTTTTTGTACCCGTGTTGTTGATTGCTACATGTAACAGTCTTATCATGACACTAAATAAATACCTTTAAAAAAAAACTTTCCTATGACAAAGAATACGAATATTTATAAAGGTTACATAAAGCAGGAGTTAATACATTATCTCTGATAGAGCGGGACAGGGGCACTGTGGTTGGAATGATCCCACCTACCATTTTAAGAAACATAGGTTTCATTTTACTTAGGTCCCAAAGGAGCTACCAGTAGGTCACAAAGGACACAGGATTTATTAGCAAGCCACAGGCCCTCTTTCTCTGTCACACCCGCTCAAAAGCATGCCCAAAATGCTATTTTAAAAAGCCTCTTAACCTATAAGAGCCACTTTTTTCTGTATTGAAGTCTCTCTCAGATTTAGCAATAAATCTGCTTGGACTGTTGGGTTCCTATTCCTATTCCCTTCTTGTCTGCTCTCTAAAGCCTACTAGTTGTTGAACAGGTAGATTGTTAAACAATGAACACTTGTAAAGATATTTTGTGAGTGCTGGTATTGGCTTTATAATTTTCGCCATATGCATGTAAATATTTTTCTTTAAACTAGAAAAAATGGCCACCCCAGGAGTAACATTCACTTTAAATAAATTAACCTTAGAAGTGACCAACAATAAAGTGGTTATTGCTTTATAACATATATGTTACGTTAACATATATGTTACAAAGCTACACAATTGCTTTATAGCGTGTATGTTAACATATATATAACATATATGTTATAAAGCAACACAATTGTGACTTCAAGACTATCAAGGGTAGCCTGGACTACATAGTGGAAGAAAACCAACAAAATAGAGGCCAGGCACAACAAATGCCAGCAGAAAATTAATTTTTTTTAGCCAATTGTCATTAGCTAAACCTAGGTTGGGCTTGCCTTTCCCTTTGGCAGTGACACAGTTTTAGGGCCCAACCATTCTGTCAATTTCTTTCCCTCCAAACCAGAAAATGCCACTCCTCCCCCCTCCCGCAAAAAATTTTTACTTCAAGGTGAAAAAGAAAAAAAAAAAAAAACTAAAAATTTCAAAACACGTCAATCAGGGGGAAATGCCACTTTTAATACAGTCACTGTAAGAATTAAATATAACGTGTAAATGTAGAATTTAGTGCTCCATAAGTGATCATTATATTGTTCACTACTTTTAAAAAATTATTAGGGCTGCTTAAGTTAACCCGCAGTCAAAAGATAGTTCTAAACCCTTAGAGAAGAAAGGGCACAAGAATCACTTCAGGTAGGAATTGAACTCGCAGTCTATGTTACACCACCGGAGCCTTAATATTGGTGCAAGCACTACGTTTGCTCTTGCGCACTTAAGACTCTTTAGCTAGGACTTGTACTCAGCTACGCGCCAAAGGCGATTACTTTGCGCCTGCGCTGTGACCTAGGATCTGCGCATGCATCCTTTGGGACTGGCGGGATCTGGGACTATGGCGTGGATACTCGAGGAGTCAGTTTTGGAAGAGTTGATGCCCCGGCTGTTGCCAGTGGAGCCCTCCAACTTGAAGGAAAGTTTCGATCCCTCCGTACCTCCCAGGACGCCTCAGTAATACCTGAGGTGGCTCCAGTGAGTGATTTGGCCTCGTGTGGGTGGGCTTTTCCTCTCTGCCTCTGGGCTATGCGCTTAGTGCCAGGCTGGAGCGCTGTGGGAGATAAACCCCGCCTCCATTTCCCTCCCAGCCTCTCGCAAGATCGGATCTGCTGTGGACCCAAGGATGACAACCTCATGAAAGCGTGTTTCTTTAGACCTTGATTGCACATGTTAAAAACCTATCAAGATGTGTGCTCTTAGCTGCTTGCCTGAAATCAATTCAGGCATGCCATGATCGGCACCTTAATTTGAAACCTGAATTATTTTCTGATTTCAAAATGAACTGAAATAAATCGCTTGCGTCTGGATACATGCGTAAAAGCACAACTGTAATTAAATTTCTTGCATTTATTATTTGTAGGATCGAAGCAGCTCGATGTTCAGATGTTGTGGTAGCTCAAAATGACCCAAAGAAATTGAAAAGGAAGCAAAGTGTGAATGTTTCTGTGAGTTTTATTAATCATCTGGGGATTTCTCACCCACATGCACACAAATTAAAGACAAAGTACCCAGCAGCATCTTCCTGTAGTTCCCAACAGTGTTAAGTTACAGTGTGGGTAAGATTTGGTTGCTCCCTACAAAGTTAGATCAACATATTTTTGTACATTTGCTTGTATTTTTTGTTTCAGAAAGATAGTTGACATTTACTGCCTTCGGAGGCTTTCAGTAGCCCTAGTAATTGTAGAGATTTGTCCATCTCTTTTTAGGAATATAATTTAGTCCTAAAGGAGCTTTTTAATTTGCTACTTATGCTGCTGGGGGGAGCGCATTAGTGTCTTTTGACAATTATTATTGGACAGGTGTTTAATCTTAATGTAGTTTGCACATTCTGAATTTTCCCTGGAAACCTAAATGTGTTAGCCCTTTCTGGCTACTTGCACATTGGGGACATTTTTATTAATTCATTTATCCAGCATACTTTTTCTTAAACGACCAGATTGTACCAAGCACTAAGAATACCACAGAGGGTAAAAGTGGAAAAGGTGTTTTGCTCCATAGAGTTTGTCTTCTACACGGGCAAAAACATAAATAAAAAGTTTTAAAAAATATTTTGAATAGAGTTGTCACAGAAGATCCCTCTGAGGAGGTTGTATTTAAGGTCCTAAGAAAGTGATACCCAGGGCTGGGGATTTAGCTCAGCGGCATGAACACCTACCTTGCAAGCAGGTAGTCATGAGTTTGATCCCTGGTACCGATAAAAATGAAAAAGACAAAAAAAAAAAAAAAAAAAGAAAGTGACACAAAATAGAGAGTTGCTAATAATTTTGTTTGTATATCTAAGCAATTACATTATCTGATATTTATAATCAGGAAATTTTCAGACATTATAATGTTTTATAAACTTTCTTTTCAGACTTTTTTTTTGCATGTCTGTGTGTGTGTTTTGAGATAGGGACTTGCTCTGTAACTCAAACTGGTCTTCAACTCACTGTATAGCCCAGGCTGGCCTCAATCTCAAGGAAGTCCTCCTGTTTCAGCCTCCCAAATTCTGGGATTATAGGCGTGTGCCACCTCACACAGCCCAGATATTTTTAATTGATGAACTTTAAAAACTGCACCTTTAAAAAACTTAGTTCATATCAGTTATATAGAGATTAATGGGTTTCCTTTTGCCTATTTGCATGTGTTGTAGGTTAAGTTTCATAGCACTATAAAACTGGTCTGCTTAGCATAATCGCCACCACGTTGAACTGCGACTAAACTTTGTGGTTAGGGGCTTCTTGCCAAAACTAGGTCGTACTGAAACTAGGTCTATGAGTAAATAACAGGAAATATCTGTCTGAAAACTGCCCTGGAAACTGAGGTAAACATGTTCCAGCGGGACAAACTGAAAAAAAAATAGCCACCTGTTTTTTGTGAAATTTTACCATAAAGCCTTCAATAGCAATACAAGCTTCACCTAGGGGCCATTTGGTTGGGTCGTACCCATTGTTAGTGGACGCTGCTGCTGGCCATTGAGCTTGAGTATTAATAAATATTAATTGATTACTGTTCAATTTGGCTTGTTTAATCTGAGTCTCCATTGGGAACCTACCACACACGTATTTACATTGCATTCTTTATCATTCCCTTCCCTATGACCTTTGCTCCCCTTTTCTCCCCTCTCTCAATTCCCATCCTCTTCTCTGAAGGTCTCATTTCTACTTTCTTTTTATTTTTTATTTTGTGGTATCGGGGATCAAACTCACGACCTTGTGCTTGCCAGGCAGGCACTTACACCACAGAGCTAGGTCTCCAGCCTCCTCCTTTCTACTTTCAAGAATATGATATTTTACATATTATGTATATATACACCTGATGTTTGAAGCTTTATTATAAGTCTGTACATGATCAGTTGTTTTTGGTTTTTTATCACTTTGAAAGTGCTTCACTATGCAGTTTAGGCTGGCCTCGAACTCACACTACACTTGGAGGACTCTCAAGTTACCATTTGTCTTAGTCACTTCTCTGATCACTCACAATACTGGACATTCGCAGCAAAGAGGAGAGGCTGGTTTTATTTTATTAATTAAATATCTAATCAGAAAATAAGGTAGCAAAAATACAGATTTTCAAAACACCAGTAAGAAATCAACACTAGTTAATACATGCTACATTATCTTAGAAGTAGTAGCTCGTTATCAAAGCATAAAAAATGAACAAAGAATAAAAAATGATCAAACAATCCCAGCACAAAGCTATTCATTTTGATGAGCTAACACAAAATGAGTAGAATGGTTATTTTATTTGGACTCACAGTTTTGCTCCATAGTTGGGCAGCTCCAAGGCAAGAATCCATGGTAAGAGGGCCGAGGTGGAGGCTAGCCGCTCTCTGAACCTGGTGGGAAGCAGAGAGAGTCAAGAGAGGAGCATGGGAGGTAGATAAACCCTTCAGGGCCACGCCCCTGTGACTTTACTCTTCCTCTCCTGGCTCAAGAGCCAAAAGCAAGTCAGCTGTAGGCTCATAAGTCAATCACCTTTCAAAAGCCACACCTAGCGGCACATGAGGCTCTTGGGTGGCGTCTGTGTAAACCATAGCAACGTTGTACAGAGGAAGAGGCAGATCCCACACCACAATTTCATCTAAGGTCGTAAGATTAGCTTATGGAGGCAAATCTGTAACCTACTAGTCATTTTATTCTCCAAAGTTTAGCTAAATAAAGGAAAGTGATGAAAGGAACAGTTGTTCTTAGAATTATCTCTAGGACCTCCCTCTCATTCCTTCTGAGTTATTTAAAGTCCTCCTGTTGACAACTCTCAGCTCACAGTAACGCTCAGCTCGCTCAGTCTTCCAGCGAAGGTGATGGACTATTTATTTCTAAGCCAAATTTATCGGTATACATTGTAAATCAGTGATCTCTTTCTCTGCTTTCAAGTCGAAGAGATAAAGAGACATTAATTCCAACGTTTCTACTCTGTTTCTGGACTTCATTAAGCCTTGCAGTGTGTCACCACCATTCTTAGAATCATATGCTTCCATTTTGTGAGGAAGTTATTTGATGTTCATTTTCAGTAAAGAGAAGCACAATTTTGCTATACTCACAGCCTATTAAGTAATACTTCAACAAAAATATACCAGCCTTGATTTGCATTACTAATATACTCACAGCCTATTAAGTAATAATTCAACAAAAATATACCAGCCTTGATTTGTGTTACTATCTTTTATTATTCTGAAAAAAGAAATAAATTATGCTCACACATATTTATTTTAAAGAATCAACATATTGCCCCAATTTTCAAATTTTTCCTGCAGTTTTCATTTTCTGAAAAGTGTGACATATGGCATCATTTTGTGCTCTACACCTTGTGAAGTTCCTTAAATTATTTGAGTCTTATAAGAACAATGGATTTAAGATGACACTGCTTGTGTTTATCTAACAGGAGTACAAGGGACAATTGAAGCACATTTGAAACATGAAAAATGTTTAAATAGAATTCACCTCATCTATTTTCAGTGTATATGAAGAAAAAAAATTTCAAGAGTGCCCTGAGCCTTTCAAATTTCATGTAGCCAATGAGGGAATGATAATCAAATGTAGACCTCTTGACATTATTTTTATCTTTTTAAGTCATACTACTCGAAGGCAAAACAAAAGAAAAATAAAATGCTTTTTTCTTTTATATTTTAAAAATTTTCAGTGTTTTTTTTTTAGTTTCATAGTCATGACCTTTGGGAAAATGGCACAGTTCCTGTAACTGCATGGTGTTTTCTTGTTAGAGTGTTTCCTTTTATGATTTTTTTTTCTTTCAAAGAGAAAAAAAAAGATTCCTCATAAAACATAGTTAATGTTCACTGTCTTTGAAAGGCAAAGGTTATAAATCAAATAACAATAGGATGCAAACTAATCTCATATTGAGAAAATAAGGGATGAGCAGAATTGCAGAATTATCCACTTCAGCAATAAATTGGAAAGATTATTCCAAGAACTAATTTCCTGCTTTCCTATGTGAATTGCTTTTTTGAACAATTTGCTTGGTGCCTAGAAAGAGAAGAGACCCATGCAGCTACTTTTGTGGGGTGCAACAGCGAGTAGTTGATGATGATTTTCTCTGTGATTGTGGAAGAGTATGATGTTTTCCACAGTGGAAGCTGTTCATTTTGAGAAGCAAATGAGTCTATCTGGTGATGAACAATGCATTTAAAAATGTGGCTGCTTGCACTTAGTTAAAAGCATTATGAAGGGCAGTGAACATAGTTTTGAAACATAAATAAAAAAACTCAAGTTATTTAACTGGAGATAGAAATGCAGATGATTTATGTATTATAATTGTTAATGACTTGCAAGAGGAAGTAGGTATCATGTTTGTGAAGTTTGCTTATGATGGTGATAATTTACTTATTTACTTCCTGCTCTGTGAGTAAATATTTTACAGACAGATGGAATATTAAGTGCTATGCCCCCAAACCTTACTTAGATAAACCTAAACAGTGTATGTTTTAAAAATAGTCTCAGCTGTGTATTTAAACATTTTTAACCTTGTAAAAATTCAATCAGTTTTCCTGGGGTCTAGATTTAAATAGGTGATTAAAGTGTGACAATAATGGAAAATACAAGTACTTTGTGAGAAGTACTCCAGGTGACAGCTGTCATGATTCTACAATCTCTGTTCTCACAAATAGTGCCCTTATATTAACATGCTTATTTCAACTGAAAAATTCTAGTGTAAGGTGTTTGAAG